ACACAAAATATATGCAATCAGCATTGCTCATAATGAAAATGTCAAATTTTGCACACACGCGCCCACACACGCACGCGCACGCAACACACACACACACACACACACACAGCGCGCACGGCGACACACACACACACACACTCGCGCGGGCGTCCACGCATCACCACAACGGCACACACACCAACGCACACACACACGCACGGCGCGCGCGCCCACAGCACACACACACACACACACAACACAACAATCACACACACACGACACGTTATTCCCCGAATTCCTAAAGATTTTCTAATATAGTTTCATGTTCTGATATAGTTGAGTATTTCACGCGTGTCTTTTTACTAGCGCGACTCTCTAAGTGTGGCATGTTGTTTGATTGACGAGCCGCAGCAGCAAATAAACAACCAGCGCGATCGTAATTAGTGTGATTGAATACAATAATAAATGTAATTTATTCATGTATTGAATGTGATGAATAATGAATGTAAGCCGGACATGGGTATGTGACTGAAAAGCTGTTTCTAGAAGAAAATTTTCTGGTGCATTTTTATTGGCTACAGGAATTTGTAAGGCGACACGCATGTATTTGTGTCGGGGAGCTCGCCCCTACTGCCCCGCAAGTCGCGCGCCTTAACGAGTATAACTGTTATACGCACGTAGGATCTTTGATAGAATAAGGAACTTTTGTCAACACATGACACGCCGAAGATTATTAATAACAAAATTATATCTGTGATCGTGCGAAACTGCGTCACAGACGCACGCATGTAGGCACGCACGCACTTACTCACGTACGCACGCACGTAGACACGCACGCACTCACTCACGTACGCACGCACGCACTCACTCACGTACGCACGCACGCGGCGAGCGCGAATTTAATGATGACTGAAGATTCTTTCCGTCATCAATCATGGACGCTGCGATATTTTTCGAATTAACATTTACAATGGTGCGGCTCGGCACGACGCGACCGCGACGTGGCATCGCGGTGCTCTTTGATGTGTCATTTACAGCGGCTTGTTACGGCACATAATCTGAGCATAATCTCACCGCTGCTCGGCGCCGCCATGTCTCCCGGCGAACACCCCGCCTGCAAGCAAGTCAGTTTCCATAGCGATACTACGTATGCAGCCATACGGCGCGCATGCGTATAGTGATACGACGTAGACCCCTAATTCTTACATTTCGCACGTAAGAATTGGTAAGATCGCCAGACCCTAAATTTGTTCACACGATACCACTCGCGCGTGCCTCGTCACACGGCCCCTAATGTTCACCTACACGCGTGCGTGCAGCGATTCCTGTGCTGGCACGTAATGTGTTGAGAAATGAGAGATTATTAGAAATTCGTTAGCTTTAAAATGATCATCACTCAAATAACTCGAGAAATGATTGCATATAGACAAAATATAGTTTCACCTGTCAGCGTACATATTACGTGTTACTTCAACATAGCATAGGTACTTTTATGGCCTAAAAACAGTCAATGAACAGCAAGCCTGCGCATGCTTTCTTGAGATTCACGAAACTGGAATTGTCAAACGCTCCCACAAAACAAGTGCACGTGGTAACGAGATATAAATTTGTATAAACTGGTACCTATACCAATATGTAGACAACGGTGACACAGTGTAGTGCCAGGGTACCGGTCGATGGCATCGCGCGAGAGCGTGAATCACTCGCTAGATTTGTTGACATATCTGAAAAAAAAATCCAAATTTGAAATGCAGATCGGTGCACATATTGATGAAAAGAATGATGTGCAAGTGTTCTATGACATGCTATGAATATGCAGATATAGATATATAGATATATATGTATAGATATATATGTATATATAGATATATATGCAGATATGTAGATATATGCAGAATAGATGCTATGCATTGACAGCTAGGCATCAGAACGGTCAAGAAAATATGAATGCGGTTGAAAAGAAAAACACACGAGAAATCGTCGCTCTAAACTATTACCCCTTGCGATGCGTTTGCTCATCGTATCCGTAACTCGCGTCAATTATTTGATCAGATTGATTAGCCTGCATAAAAAATGCGATATCAATTTCGCGGGACCTCGCCGAATGTCACTAGCCGGTTACGACTAGATGCGCGCGCGTATAGATCTATCGCGTTTATCTGCTTTAACGTTATCTAGCGGCGTGTTGATACTATCAGGAGTGAATAATAGAAATCTCATTAGTCATTCATGATACTATCAGGTGACACTATGTACTATCACATAGTTTAGAGGGATACGGGGCGAGGGCCGTCAGAAAGCGTGTGTTTGCATCTCATACAAAACAGAACAGACGAAAAGGTTACTGGGAGCGTTGCAGGGAACTTTAAACCGACTATCTGTCTATCATCAGTCAACTCATCGTAGTTTGCGCTTTTAGTAACTTATAGATACTGATCTCACTAGACTGCAGCGATTTCATGAGGCAATTTCATATCCGATTTCCAAACATTTCATCCTAATCGTGTTAATCTTTTGCTATTTGTGGAGCTCTATTTATGGTTCCTTATATCGTCTTTATTTACAGTATCGATGCATGCGTAACACTGGAAATGCGATCAGTTCATGATAGAACTTCACAAATTACACGCCGTGTGGATAAAAGAAAATGATATGCGATATATGAATAAATGGTAACGAAATGAGTGGCAACACAAGTGTTGTTTCTTCTTTTTTCTTTCTTGTAACTGCGCCTTCCGGCGCGTTTACAGCGCGTTCACAGTGCCGCGTCATTCCCAGCCGGCATAGCTGCGTTATTTCACTCTTTAAATTGACTACGTCACGAATTTTCTATGGTGTATATTTTTTTTATTTTTTTTTATTTTTTTACATGAAAAGTAAGTACTAACGGCACTAAATGTATCCTCAAATTCTTACCTGATAAGATTGTTCTTCAACTAGTTAAAAATCTAAAAAAATCTGGGCGATTTGATATATTGATCACGACATTAAATGCTTACTATGGGCTACGTATGAGTCACGAGTGTTTGTTCACATTGAACGGAATAAGTATTATGCAGCAATTTAACAATAAAAAGTGAACAGAATCACTTACATTTTGTGAAAACGTGGACATCATTTTTTTAAATTTTTACTATATGTACGGTGACGTAATCCCTTTAACATCTTCCGTCCGCTGACGCTTGCTCCTAACAAGGAGGGTTTCCGTTTCACGATGAATTGAGTAGCCCTTTGATTCCTTATCGCGTTTATGGATACGACCTCGAAACTGCGGCAGGGTTCACTTAGCTAAAAGACACGAGTAGAGAAAGCTTAGTTAGATAATCACATTTTTAAGGTGAAAGAAGAAATAATCTCTTCTCTAAAATAATCTAATCTCTAATTATGTAGACTTTCTCGGCCAGACGGCGCATGCAAAGATATGAGCAATGATCGCAAAGTTCAGCCAAGTCGTTTTTCTCAGTTCTATTTTATTTTTGAATGCACTGATAAACCGTCACCAAACGCATGTAGGGATATCAAGTGATTGCAATAGAGTGACGGGGCAGATCGCAGACAAAAGAATTAAAATCCAGGTATAAACGCGTGAACCATGACAAACTATTAATAACATTACTGATCAAACAAGACCCTTCATTGACTTCAGATCAGTTGGGTTGTGTTCACACGCTCTCGTGCACGTCATAACGTTACATCATTACAAGTTCTCCTTTATCGCGTATGTATATCAAGTCGTGTATGGTACCAAGAGATATATCTAATAACGCATCGTCACCTAATGACCTCTAATTCTAGTAAATATGCGGAGTGACTGAAGCGTTAGTAAAACTTCAGAAATGCACTGACATATTAACGTTTTTAAAAACAAAATGCGATCTGGTCATTTATGACAGCTTCGGAATGACTGGTGCGGCTACGTCGTTATGCTAATTAGGCGTACTGGCGATAGAATTAAGTTGTTAAGTTGTAATTAAGCGTTTAAGTTCTTAGAACGAGTATTGCTCAACATTTTCGAAGTCATAATTGAAATTGAAATTTCGAACAGCTAGAAAAACAGTGTTCTTATTAATTGATCGATATTAGGTATATTAATTTATTGATAGTATTTATTTTAGTTGATTAATTAATTTGTCATTTTGTTAGATCTCTTGCGTCTCGATCCACACATCCTTCATTCCTACGTTGCCTGTTGGTAAGAGAGCTTTTCTCTCGCTCACTAACCCGACGTGCCCACGAGTATGGCTCATTAGAATGCCATCACCTGGTTATAGTACGGGAGGAACGCACACGCGCCGCAACGTATGCGTTAACACGGTTATTAGTAATCGATGTATGAACCAATAACTAAATATCACGATGCGATATTTCAGCGAGGGCATACATATAGCTATATTGTATTGACTGAGTGTATAGGTATCGCAAGGGCTGATAACGCCGATAAGACTTACTAACGCAGATGGGGTCGTTTTCGTATCAGGTACTACAGATATGTACCCGAGGTAGTTTTAGGTTGTTTAGTATTACGTTTATATTTTTATACGAGGTATGTTTAGGGTTAGGGTTAGGGTTATGGTTAGGGTTAGGGTTAGGGTTAGGGTTAGGGTTAGTGTTAGGGTTAGGGTACACTTCTGTAGTACAGGTCTGGTACACTTTGTGTATACATATATGTACCTCGGGTACATATCTGTAGTACCTGATACGACAACGACCCCTTGAGCCTGGTTAACTAACCGCGTGTCGTAACTCTCCGGCTGTTCGGTCAAGCTACGTCGCTGGCAGCGGCGACGGCGACGGCTCGCTGCCCCTACAAGACGTGCGTCACGTGTCTGTGTGCACATTCCGCTCTCGGGGTAGTGCATTGTACACAGCTCGCTCGGCTGTTCAGCACGTACTGTGAAGCAGCTACCGTGTCCGCACTAGGTCACGTTGCCGTGTGCGCGCACCGAGCAACCCACGGTAGGCCTACTACGTACACCGCGTAGTAGTAGACGATCCACGTGCGTCGATCAGCAGCAGCCACGATGGAGGCGGAGGCTTCGATTGCCGATGTACCGTTGCACGTCGGCGACAGTCTATTGCCGACGAAGACGCTGCTGATGAACGTTCTCGCGCTCGTGCTCGTCGTCGTGCTCGCACGTTTTTACGTACTGAAGCCGAGGAGACTTCCCCCGGGACCCACGGGATGGCCGCTGCTGGGCTGCCTGCCGTACCTGAAGACGAAGCCGCTGCGCTATTTGAGTGCGTTGGGCGAGCAGTACGGTAGCGTGTTCAGCATCTACATGGGGGGACGCCTGGCCGTTATTCTGAATGATTACGAGGCCGTGCGGGAGGCGTTTGAGGAGAACGGAGACGCGTTTGGCGGCCGTACGCCCTTCTATCTGCTGCAAGTCGGCAAGCAGGATTCCAGGGGAGAGGTGCACGGTGAGTGTGTGTGTGTGTGTGTGTGTGTGTGTGTGTGTGTGTGTGTGTC